AGAATAAGGTATGGTTCAAAAATTAATTCATTGGAGGAAAATGGAAGTCACAGAAACACTTCCACTCTGTGGGAATGTGCCTGGTATATTTTATAAAACAAAATAGCAGAATTTTGTCAAATTAAGTATATGCATAATTTATGAACCAGAAACCTTCTTTACATACATATTCTAAAGAAATTCTCACACAGCTCTTTCATTTTGAGATGGATCTGGTATGGGAAAAAATATTTCATTGATTTATATCTAAATTTCTGCCAAACAACAGAGAATATAAGCCCTTTTCATGTAATATTCACAAAATCTTAACCAAAAATTTACAGTCATTTGGAAAACAGTTTGGATATTCTTCAAAAAATAAAAATGATAATTATCATGTGATCTAGCAATCCAATTCTGGGTATATATCCAAATAATTTAAAGCATGATCTCTTTTTTAAAATATATTTTTATTGATTTTGAGAGAGAGAGAGAGAGAGAGAGAGAGAGAGAGGGACAGGGAGAGAGACATACAAACATTGATGAGAGAGAACATCGACTGGCTGCCTCCTGCATGCCCCCCACGGGGGATGAAGCCTCCAACCAGGGCATGTGCTCTGACCAGGAATCGAACTGATGACCTCTTGGTCCATGAGTCAATGCTCAATCACAGAGCAACATTAGCTGGCCAAAGGTGAGATCTTGAAGAAATATTTGCATACCCATGTTCACTGAAGCATTATTCACAATAGCCAAGAGGTGGAAGCAACCCAAATGTTCACTGAAAAATGAATAGATAAAGAAAATGTGGTCTATACATACAATGGAACATTACAGATTTTTATGAAAAGAACTCCTATCACCTGCTATAGCATGAATGACCCTCAAGGACATTCTGCTAAGTGAAATAAGCCAGTCACAAAAGAACAAATACTGTTTTATTTCACTCATATGAAGTATCCAAAGTGGTTAAAATTGTAGAAACAGAAAGAAAAAAAGGTGATAGCTAGGGCCTGGGAGAGAGGGAGAGGGGACATAAGTTTTTAATAGGTCTAGAGTTTCAGTTTTGGACAATGCAAAAGTTCTAGAGATCTGTTGCACAACAGTGTCAATATATTTAAGACTATTGAACTGTATACTTACAGATGATTAAGATCGTAATGTTATATGTTCTGACCATAACAAAATAATACCTTCTTATGTAGCTTTCATCAAACTTAAATCAGTGGTTGAATTGCAAGATGAATGACCAATATGATCAAAGGTTGACTCTGTGTTATCTTCACATAATCCTGGTGCTATGATGATAATTACCAAAAATGAACCAATAAATGTTCAAATAAATTTTATATATATTCAACAGTGACCAACAGTGAAAGGGGAACAAAAATACTAAAATCTATGAGGGGCCCTGTGGCTTAACTACTAAAAATGCCTGTCTAGTAAAATCTGTATAGTTTAACAGTTAAAAAAAAAAAATTATTCTGCCTTAATATAATGAATATGTATTTCCAGTAATATAGCACCCAATTTTAAATAGACTATATAAACAAATATTTAAAAATTATTTAAGCCTGGCCGGTGTGGCTCAGTGGTTGAGCGTTAACCCATGCACCAAGAGGTTGCTGGTTCGATTCCTGGTCAGGGTCCATGCTCAGGTTGTGGGCCAAATCCCTAGTGGTGGCATGCAGGAGGAGGCCAATCAATGTTTTTGCTCATCAGTGTTTCTCTCTCCTCTCTCTCTCTCAAAAAAAAAAAAAAATCAATAAAGAAAAAAAATTTGTTAATGATCTAACACCTCTACACAAAACTATTGAGTTATTGTTAATGAGAATGGGTACCTTTCGATTTTTATGGATACCTCTGTTGCCTAAATGTTCCACAATGAGCATGTATTAATTATGAAATTAAAAAAAAATTACTTTACAGTAAATATTTAAATAATGAAGGTGCTGTATACATTGTTTCCCCTGGTTTTAAAGCTGGACAAGTTAGTCATATACTGTTCTGTGACTGTGTGGTTGACAGATGTAATCACTGAGCTATTAGCATGTAGATAAGTATGTAAAGACAGACAAGATAACTCCCTGAACATAGTAGAAGGCAAAAGAAACATCAAAAATGTTTAAAGGAAAGTATAAAATGAACAGAAAAAGCAGTGAAAATGTTATTTTATTCAGCTCTATTTCTTGATGGAAACATTATTAATCATCAATTGATCAAATTGCAAACATCTAAAAATGCCTAAGGTTGTAGTTTTGTAGAGAGCAAATAATATCAGACAAATTCAATTTATTTTTATGACAGAGTGACAAGGGGGAAACCATACATTTAATAGATTGGGAGTTGTGCCAGCTTCTTCAGTGTGTACTACATTACAATTACCTCAGCAAGCCAGGAGTACATTATTATGTAGGTGCATGTACCCAGAGGGCAGTGATCAAAAGTTTATTGTTAGAATCAGAAGACGTAATGAATATTCTTTCTTTGCAGTTGTCAGAGTTCTGTATGTAATAATTGTATAATGGATTGAGAGTTTTAAACAGAGAGTGGTTTTTGGTTAGAAAAGACAGTCAAAGTAACTTGTTAATACTCTGGAGTAAAAATGTAAGAATCTGATGCCATCATATTAAGGAGAAATTATAGACATATTACAAATAATATGATATTATTTCACATAGCTCAGTATAAGATAATTGTCTTCTGGAAGATTATAGCATATAACTGAAATATTAATGTAAATGACTTTATACAAACGATGTAGTGTGACATTCATTCAGACATTATCTGGTAAATGATGTAACCTTACTTAAAAAAATATTTTTTTAATTCCACATGGGCCAAGTAAATAATATGCTGTACAGGGATATTATACATGTTATGTGAAATCATTTTTGGAAAGATGTTAATTAAAAATAAAGGAGCAAAGCTGTTAGCTGAAATGTAGATTTCTCCTTACTATGGAAGTAGTCAGCCCTTTAAAAATAATTGTTGAAAATGCAGTATAACTTCATCTGAATTAATAATTTCTCTGTATAAAAACTATCATCAGTTATTTGGCTCCAAAAATAACAGACACAGGATGTTGTTTCATCTCTAACAAAACTAACATATTCTTATCTCAATTAAGGATGTGCTTTGAAATAGTACAATTGGCTAAAAACAAGGAGAAAAGAAATGTTCATAGGTGATTTTATGCTAATAATAACCCTCCAATAAACATAAAATAAATAAGGGGAATTAATTTTCCAAGATTTCTTCAAAACATTGATTTTACATAGTGAATTCCATAAAGTGACTCTAGCTACATACATTCTCACCATTTCTACCTTTTTAGATCAAGTCAACATCATTTCTCAGCCAGACAAATACGAGTTGGTTTTCTTGCTATGATTGGTTTTGCATATTACGTATGGTGTTATCTTTACAAGTAAAAATCAAATACTTCTTCCTCCTTCCTGCACCAAATCCACCCAAATGGCTTCCCATTATATTCACAATAAAAAGCAGAAAATGTCACTTCTCTACAAGGTCTTACATGCTCTTTCCTGTTAACCGCCTGTCAAACCTCAGTAAGTCAAGCTGTTTCTCCATCAGAGTGTAAAACTTCATTTCTCAATCTCTCATGACTCAATCTTTCTCATTATTCAGGGTTTTGCTCACATATCACCCTGTAAATCTGAAGTAATAACCCCACTCCTTGACTCAACTTTCCTTTACATTTTAATAGCTTTATTGTATTTATTCTTTATCTCCACACATAAATATGCATATGTACATATATTTGTTTTCTTCTTCTTCTTTTTTTTAATCCTCACTCAAGGATATTTTTCTATTTATCTTCAGATAGAGTGGGAGGGAGGAAGAGAGAGAGAAACATTGACATGAGAGGGACACATCCATTCGTTGCCTCCTGCATGACCCTGACCAGGGCCTGGGACGAACCACAACCAAGGTACGTGCCCTTGACTGAAACTGAACCTACAACTCACTGTTCCACGGGCTCATGCTGTAACCACAGCCAAATTGGCCAGGGCCATATATTCTTTTTTTAATTCTCAACCCAGAACATTTTTCCATTTTTTGTTCAGATAGAGCTGGAGGGAGAGAGAGGAAGAGAGAGAGAGAGAAACATCGATGTGAAGGGACACATCGAGTGGCTGCCACCCGCACGACCAACCAGGGCCGGGGACAAACTGCAACCAAGGTACGTGCCCTTAGCGGGAACCGAACCCGGGTCTCTGTACCGCAGGCCGACGCTCCAACTGCTGAGCCAAACCGGCCAGGGCATATATTCATTTTTTAATTGTCATTTTTCTTATCAGAACATAGATTCTACAAATGCAGATCATTTTCTTGTTTTTTGCTCTATCTGCGGTACCCATAGTAGAAGTTAACAGTCTTTGTGCAATAAATTGATCTAAAAAAAAAAAAATGTACAAAATATATACATTTTCTCAAAAATATCCATTTTGGGAACATTTACATAGGGCAAAATTGGTAATTCCTCTTAAACATGTAGACAGATAATTTCATGTTGATGAATGTGAATGATCACATTTACATGTTTAATCCTTTATGTGACTTTCCTGTGACCCCCTTTTTAACTGCTTTTAAGTTTGGTTAGAATATAAAATAATACACTACTTATCTTTACTACCCTACCTTAGATAATAGATTATTATTTTTAATTATTTTTTCTTAGGAATAATTCTGAGTAAAAATAAAACATAAAACCTTAAAGTATATTTGGTTCTATTGATTGCTCCTAGGAAAGTTATTAATTCAGTACATCATTTGTTTCACAGAAGAGAGTAATTTCCTCAATTATCCCTGTCCAGTTTTGAGTGACAGGGGTCATCTTACATCAGTAGCTGCTTTCCTGTAGCCGTAACAAGGTACTTCATTCAGTCCTTTAGCAAGTTTCTTCACAAGATTAAGAATGGAAGTAATAACAGTCAGCATATTTATGATGACTTCCCATTTCACTTATTGTTTTTTCTTGTGAATTTCTTTTTCAGAAATTGAAAAATTTCAAGGTTCTGATGGAAAAAAGGAAGATGAAGAAAAGAAATATCTTGATGTCATCAGCAACAAAAACATAAAGCTCTCAGAAAGAGTATTGATTCCTGTAAAACAATATCCAAAGGTACTGCATTACATGCTTTGTGCTCATCGAATTCAGAAAAAGAGTGGTAAAAATAAGACGATACTTTTTCTTTGACTTTTATAAAATGAATAGTTAAAGTTTCATTATTTCATACACACAAATAAATGATACTGACATAGAGAAAGGAAAAATGATGAGAGTGATTTTCAACCAAAGGCTGTGCATTTTTGTTCTGTGAATGTGGGGAGCATAATTAGATATGTTAATCATTTATTTAACATGTAGTTCAGTATTTGTTTAAATATGTACACTCACTTGATTATGTTTGCTTCATGAAAAAATGTATATTCCTCTTATAAAAAAGAGTAAAATTTAGAATGATACTAAATATATAACATTAGCCAATCAGTAGGGAATTATTATATCCAGGAAAGCAATATCGTCTTTATTAGACCCTTAGATTATAACTGTTAGTCTTCTGTAGTCAGGAGACTACATATACATAATTAAGATATTGGTCTCTTCAAAATATTTTTTACTAAACATTTTATCATATGAGGTTTGTACCACCAGAATCGGGATTATAAAACATTCCATTCAATTGCATGATCTTATCAGTTATATTTGTAAATTCTAATGGGTAAAGGGAGGTTTTTATTTTTTTAATGTATTAAGCAAGCCAAAAACAGAAACTCAAATATTCAAGCTGGCAATTTACTTTCTGATGAGTGAATCTGAAGCAAGGACCATGTAATCATCCTAATAGGAAAGATTATAGAAATAAATGCTGTAGTTTACCAATTATCTTCTAATGTGATAAAATTTAGTAAATATAATTAAGTAGAATGTTGTGTTTATAATTATTTCAAACAAGATTGAAACTGTTGCAGCCCACCAAACATGAAATTTACCTTTCAAATGAAGTTTTTGGGTATGTAAGTTTTTCTTTATTTTTGTATGTTTCACAAGAAAGGTACATTCCATAAATATGATTTCACATTAAATTGTTAGATTTACTTTACAGTCACATTTTTATGAATATTAAAATGGGAGGTCATAGACATGAACATTTTTACATAGTAATGAAATATAGTAGAAATACGGGGTGTTAAGATTTTTTTTTATTAAAGAACATAATTATTCCATTGTAGTCTAGAGTGCAAGGATTTTTCTTTAAATCATATATTTAAATATTATGTAACTTGATACTGTTTCTCAGAATAACACTTGTTTATTCTTGGACATAAAAAAAGTCAGAGACAAACACAGTATCTACTTCTCAATCATCTGCAGCTTTATCTTTGACCAAATTAGGTTGTTATGTAGTGGAAGGCATTTCGAGTTCAGATGGCTCTTCAGTGTCGGTATGTGTGATTTAATGCTGAATATTAAAATAGTTTCTTTCTTGCTTTATTTTTTGTTAATTCTCACCCAAGGATATTTTTCCATTGATTTTTTTTTTTTTAAAGAGAGTCGGGGGGAGCAGAGAGAAAGAAAGAAACATTGGTGTGAAAGAGACACAGTGATCGGTTGCCTCCTGCACGAATCCAACTGGGGCCTGGGATCAAACCTGTAACCCAGGTAAATGCTTAGATCAAGATCAAACTCTAGACCATTTGTTCTGCAAGCTGATGCTGTAGCCACTGAGCCAAACCAGCCAGGGCACAATAGTTTATTCTGAGTCATAGTATGAATATTAAAAGAATATTTTTCAACTTATGTTTTTATTTAAGAATAGCTGATATACAATCTTATATTGGTTATATTACTTTTAGGTGTACAACATAGTGATTCAACTTTTTATACCTTACAATATTATCATCCCACTAACTCTAGAAGTCACCTGTCACTGTGTAAACTTATCAAAATATTATTCACTATAAACAGTATTTCTAATTCTTGTGAGATCTATTATTTATAGGAAGATAATCAAACAACAAAACTAACTTCCTATTTATAAACCATGTCTCACTAGCAAATTATTGTACCTTTAGAAACACAGAATGCTTAAGCTGGGACTAATCTGGAAATCACAGAATACATAAAACTTTCATTTTGCAGGTGAGGTAACTAGGAGATTAATAATTGTTCAAAGTTGTAGTTTAGATACAGATCAAGATGCTTAGAGAGACTGATGTTACTTTAGGTTCTTCGGATGCTGTGAGTCATTGCATTTTTAACTTGACTAACGATGTTCACATAGTTATATTATCTTCTCATGTAAAATATGGAAGAATGTGAAAAAGAATAGGTCCTAATAATACTTTTATGTAATACTATCAAATCACAGTTTGTGCTTTTCAAAATTTGCCCTTTGTAATTCATTAATAGAATGCCAAACCACTTTGTTATTTTAAACGAATGTGCCTTTCATCTAATTTTTACACACAAAGAACTCTTAGATTTCCTTAGAGGAAAAGAGTACCATGTTTTACTTCCAAAGTGGCGATTCTCTCCTACTGAGTGATCTTTGCCTGCTTCTCACCAGAAATATCGGTGGGGTTGAATTAACATATGATCACTAAGCCCGGCCAGTGTGGCTCGGTGGTTGAGCGTGGACCCCTGCACCAAGAGGTCATTGGTTTGATTCCAGGTCAGGACACATGCTCAGGTTGTGGTCCCAATCTCCAGTGGGGGGTATGCAGGAGGCGGCCAATCAGTGTTCTCTCTCATGGATGTTTCTATCTCTCTCCTTCTCTCTCTCTAATATCAATAATAAAATAAATAAATAAATAAACAATCACTAAACTGGAGCCATAGTTAATGTACATGTGTGAGCTGTAAAATATGTGGTGTGGTGTGATACTATGAACTGCTGAGCAGGGTAAAACAGTGTTTATGGATTTAAAGTTTAATCTTTTGTAATGAAAAGTGATTTATCCTTCAGGGGAAAAGACCTGCTTTTCACAACTTCTCTCAGAGCCCTCTCCCCTTGATGCCTGCTGTCTGTGTGAACTGCTAATTAATGTGGTCCTGACACAGTCCTTTCCAACAAAGGGCAGTACGTAACCATGGGAATTCAGGAGGAAATGACCTTCTCCTGACTTTACTACATGACCTTTTTGGGATAGATTTTGTTTCAGTTAGTCTTCAACTTCAAGTTAATTTGCTGACTTAATTGAGTAATACATGGACTTGAAAGAGGTTTAAGATTTAAAATTATGAAAAATATCAGAATAACCTTATACTACATTAAGAATGATTTATATAGCTATAGTGCTTTATGTTTAATCACTTAATTTGGGGAAAATATGCCACATAATTAAATTATTTGAATAAACAGTTTTTGTTTGTAACAAGATTAGTAAAGAAATAGACCTTGTACATCTGTGGTTTGTATTTGCAAATGTTATAGAATCAGAGCAATTATTTTGTGATAGTCAAGTCTCCAAGGAGGTAACATGTGACAATATGTTCCTCTCATCCTAATAGATCCATGTAGAAAGTTCACCATCTTAAACTTAACTCTTTTTCCCTAAATTCACATATATGATATTGTATTGTCAATATACATTTATTGTTTTTAATTTTAACATCTCTAACTGGTATACATGTTATAACAAAATTATAGTATAGTCTTTATCAGGCAAGCGGTGGTCAAATCTCATTGTTTTCTCAATAAAATTGCTCGTGTGAACTCAGTCCATGGCTTCTCACATCGAGTTGTTTGCAGTGTTGGAAATACGCATGTTGAGTTTAGTTGCTGTTTAAGATGTCTCCAAAGATTGCATTATGATTTCATGTTGACTATGATTTAGTGCAAAGCTATTACATGTGCAAAAAATGAATAGAACCATAGCTTGGGTTATACATTTGATATTGATGAAGACAACATTCATCCTGGAAGAATGAGAACAATGCTATACTTTCTTGGTCCTCAACAAACAACTGCCTTATAAGACCTAAGAAACAAAGATAGACATAAATGGCCAGAGCTCTATTATGTGTTGTTACTGCTAGACATGCAAAAGGAGTGTCTACCACAAGCATGGGCATGGTGAGAGAGCGTTCGAGGACAGGGATGTGGACTTGCTGGGGGAGAGCTACTTGTCCCTTGCTACTGTACCTATTTGTCTACCTGGGCAATTCGGGTCTCTCAATGCCTTTTAAAAATGTCTTTTTGATGTTGCCTTCAGAATCCTCTGAAATACATCAGAACTTTTCTAAATTAAATTTGCCCCAAGGCCACTTTTTATTTCTCTCCTTGAGTTACAGCCAACATTTTAAAGCAGTCGATTGCCAGGAGTATAAATCGGCCCCAAATTTGGCCCCTTTTAAGATCAAACGCAGCCATGTCCCCCTGTGCTGCTTTGCAAATCAATTCCTTATGTAGATTAATGCAGAAAATTAAAGTTCTAAAATACGTTCAGAAGCACCACACTCGCTCTGTATTTCATCAGATTCTGCTGTGTCCCAGAGAGAGGGGCTGCCTTCTGTGCCTGGGTGGAAGCGGTTTCCACCGCCAAGCATGTCATCCCACAGAGCGGTTTCCTCCTTTATACTTTGAAAGATGAAAACGCAAGTCTAAATCCTTGATGAGTATTATTTTTCCTAACTTTATAAGTAATTATCAGATCATTTAGGGATAGTTAATAGAGATCAGGGATATTAACTTGGGAAACTATGACCACATTTCAAAGCCAAGATAACCAGAGGTGGAAGCAGTTCTCTGTTTTTCTAGGCAATGTGGTTTTCTAAAAGCCGCTCTGTACTTTACATCTTAAACCCATTTTATCCTTACCATAGACCACTGCATAGCATCACTCTTTAATTTTCTAAAGGAAATGGAAGAAAGGATTTGGTGAGATGTATGATTTCAGTTTCATTCATGTAAGTTTCCTAGTCTCTCACCTGTGAATTTGAATTAAACCTATGGACACTGACAACAGTGTAGTGATTGCAGGGTGGAATAGGGGGATAAATGGTGATGGAAGGAGACTTGACTTGAGGTGGTTGGTGAACACACAATACAGTGTGTTGTAGAGTTGTCCACCTGAAACCTGTATAATTTTGTTAGCCAGTGCCGTGCCAATAAGTTC